CCCATCGATACGTTCTAGGGTTGCTACGTACGTACGGTGTTGCTCTCTCTACGTACGCTCTCTCTACGTACGCTCTCCCTGGTACATGGGTGTCGCTGTAAGCCCAGCCCATTGAAACCAAACCTGCGCATCCTAGAAACATATACGATTGCACTCGGTGTGAATGTTTTACTTGTGAGAAGGATCGAGTCCGCAGGGAGAAACCTTGCAGCCACGACGCCTCACATCGGACCTCGTGGTTCTTGGAAGTCGACAAGATTCTTATAATGCAGAAATATTCTAATGAAGAAGATCGCATTGGCGTGTTTTTTTTTAGTGTATCCGCGAAATCTCATCGTGAAAACAAACAGTTTATATTGTTTGCTGTTTGTATACACGAATGTATATAAATCACAAGGTATTCGTCTTGCAATAAATCATGTCGCCTCTGCCTAAGAGATGTGTCTAACTAACTAAAATTAGTTTTTACGAACAGCGACCTTTATTAACGACAACATTTTCTTTTTGCATAAAATAGCATACGTAAAAGTTTTCTCAATAAAAAAAATGCAGGACTAGATCAATAAATATCCGTTCTTACCAAGACTATTAAAAAAAATTCAGGGCGCTTCGTTTTTAGAAAAAAAACCGCAAGCGTAAACCAATAGTACGATCCACAAGTTTTGAGCGCCTTGAACACAATTGGATCATTGAATATTAGCTATTGGATATTGGATCATTTCACCCCTAAAAATCTCCCGCAGGTCACCGTTTGTTATTAATATTGGCGCGGTACCAGCAATACTGACGAGCTTTGCGCCTGATGTCCCGCATGTATGTCGCTCACTCGTTATGTTTCTACCGCGGTGAGTGCTTGCTTATGTACACGCATACGTTGATATCAATGCGGGTGCCTGTGTCTCCCTCATACATGTACATACATACGCATCTCGTATTCATCGTCATCATCGTCATGTGCGTTTTGTGCTCCATCGGAGTTTTATCGTGTACCACTAGCTGCGATCTGTATAGCAGTCGACATAGTGCGCCTGTTGTGTGCATGAATGCCGTTAGAGAGAGAGGGAGAGAGAGAGAGAGAGAGAGAGAGAGAGAGAGAGAGAGAGAGAGAGAGAGAGAGCGAGAAGGAGAGAGAGATAGATAGAGAGCGAGAGAAAGAGAGAGAGAAAAAGAGAGAGAGAAAGAGAGAAGGGGGGAGAAAGAGAGAGAGAGAGAGATAGAGAGAAAGATAGGGAGAGAGAGAGAAAGCGAGAGAGAGAGAGAGAGAGAGAGAGAGAGAGAAAGAGAGAGAGAGGAGAGAAGAGAAAGAGAGAGAGAGACCATAGGAAAGACGAGCGAGGGGGGGGGTAGGCAGTCGTTATATGTATACCGACAACTCACATCCGGTCTAATAGAGAGTGGGCTCATTGCGGACCTAGACATGCTCTCTGTTCGGCTCGCGTTCACGCCAAGGTCGACACCAGATATACCTGCATCCTGTATCGCATGAACGTCTCGGTGTGCGTATGTTGCGTGGTGCGCGCGCTTGGTTGTTGCGTGGGTGTACGTGCGTGCGCGCGTTGTGCTATGCTGTGTGTGCAGTGGTGAGTGTATGTGTGTGTGGTGTGTGTGTGGGTGTGGTGTTGTGTGGTGTTGTGTGTGTGTGGTGTATGTGTGTGTGTGGGGTTGGTTGTGTGGTGTGTGTGGGGTGTTGTGTGTACGTGCGCGCGCGTCGTGCTGTGTAGTCGCATGTGTGTGTGTGTTGTGTGTGTGTGTGTGTGTGTTGTGTGTGTGGTGTGTGTGTGGTGTACGGTCGCGGCGTTGCGTGTGTGCGTGTGTATGCCTGTTGTGTGTGTGGGTGTGTGTGTGTGTGTGGTGTGTGTGTGTGTGTGTGTGTGCGTGCGTGCGTGTGTAGTGCGCGTGCGCGTGTGTATTGTGCGTGCTGTAGATGGTGTGTGTGTGTGTGTGTGTGTGTGTGTGTGTGTGTGTGTGTGTGTGTTGGCGGGTACGTTCTACTATGTGTGTAAACCTGTGTGTGTAGTGTATACACGCGGTTGTCCACTAAGCTTACCAGTCTACTGGTCACCCCGATAGTAGCGTGTAGCTACAGTATAAGCATAAGCAGTATACGCCCGCACTGTAACAACCCGGCTAAGTGTGCGCTCCCAGAACCGGATCTGTTGTTGTCGTTGGAACAGACGTGGGAGGGGGTGGGCAAGAAACCGCTCCAAGACCGGCCTAATTTGCTCTTGTCTGATCACTCAGCCACATGCTGTCGTTTTAGGTGGCGAGGTGGAGGGGGAGAAGGAGGGGAGGGGAGAGGGAGGGGAGGGGGCACGGATGCCGATTGGTGCAACGTAAACTATAATTTGAGCGGTGACGACATCAGAAGATATGGACGCTGCTCGATTCTCCACGCGGGATGGGTCCGCTCAGCCGCCGGCGCTTTCAATTTTGGAAACTATCCAGAAACCTTTTGGAAATGCTTCCCACCAAAAAGGTCCCCGAGCGCAGAAAGATAGAATGCGATAAGATATAATCGTACGTTGCGCAATCAACATTTAAATAGACAACTTACAAGTCTCATGTTTGCTAACGGATAGCAAGCATTGTCGCCCACACACCTTACTATGCTATAGTCCGCTTTATGATACCAAGAATCCATAATAAAAAATCGAAAAAGATTTTTTTTCTATAATGAATTTTTTATGACATTATCATATATGCTTATCATTCGGTGGGTGCATGTACATCACCTGGTGGGTTTCAACGAATAATCTAGCCGCCACCCACACATCATGATCACGCGGTCACATGTTATTGACTCACGGCTCTCACAACGCGGGTGTGTTTACGGCATAAAAAACTCTTCAAACAACAGCACTCGGGAGTCTCTGGCAGCTCTGTCGGATGACGAAGAAACAACAAGTGGGCAACTGCTGGTATTACTATATCATAGGAAAAATCATCTTATATTGCGATTATTTGCTCCTGTTACTATGTATACACTGGCATATTGCTAATATCAAGGGTGTTATAATATAGACATGCATATATACATTATGACATTCCTGATATACTGGTATTACCAAGCGTGTACTGCTATACTGTGGGTATACTGATACACTACCAATAATAGTTGGCGGTCTTATCTAGCCAGTACGTACTTGGTACTGCTGGCATAAGCTCGCATTTGAATAGGCAATGTTTGTATATGCGCTAATTCCGCCCCGGGCCTTCCATCCCCCTCCCCCTCCCCCTCCCCCCATTTCCTGCCAGGGGTCACGGCGCCCCGCCACCTAGCCACAGGTGAACACCTCATATGACGTAATTAATGAAGGTGTGACGTAACGCATAATAGAGCTGGATTTTTTATTCATTGATAGTAGGTGCGACGAGTCATTTCCCGTTGTAATAATATATTCCCGTTGTATATAAAGGTCGTATAGTTTGTGCGTGTACGCGTAGGTATGAATTACTATTGACCCTTGCCTTTCCGCTGGGCAGGGCGGCGGGCGGGTGACATTCGCATATAAGTCGTCAAACTCACAGACGCTCGGGTATTTTCAGTAATAAAAAATGTACTGTATTTACTATACCAAACTCTCACAATGTTGATCTACTCTCATTTCGTCTAATATTAGTAATAATTCCCAGCAAATACCGTTCAAATGCTCATACGCAAGTTGCAACACACAATCTCATCGCACACATATGCCAGTCTACGCATTAACTCATAGAGGGATAAGAGTGTGTTTCAAGTGTCTGTGAACAAACTGGCTATCGGGTCTGAGCGCCCATGTTGCGTTATGTGCATGCGATGTAGACCAGGGGTGAATAATAACTATTAAATAATTTGTCGTTATTCGCCCCTGGTATAAATACATATGTACATACGCGTGACTGGTTCGCAAGCTGTAAAGTAACGCAAACGTAGCTAATTAGTCCACTTTAAACAACGTTCGCATCTGGTGTGTCTGCGTGCGCGAGCGTGTGTACATGTTTTGTGACAATACCCTGCGTCCCAAACCTTCCTCCGAAAAAACACATTAGGTTTTAATGGGAAATGCTCGTCTTTGTACGAGCTATGCGTCGTCTTTGAACGACAATGCTTATATACTATACACACACACGCGGGTGTGCGCATGCGCAATGCGCCATCAATTCGAGAATCCATCGGCACGACGCTTGCGCATTCCGTGGCTGCATCTAAAACCCGCGACGCGCGTCCAGTGTGTGGATTCAGTGCAGGCCGTATAGCCTGTAACAAGGCCCCCTGCATTCCTATGCAGCCACGCTGGGAGCATCAGACAATGGAATGGAAAAACCTGCACCCCCACCCCCTTCACCCCTCTCTGAGCATGTCACGCAAGGCTGGCGTAGTTGAATGGACGTGGCATGGTGCACGGAATCAGGTCCAGATTACTATAGTCTGGGCGCATTAAAGCGCCATTCTCCCACAAAATGGTCATTTGGTTTGCTCGCTCATGCGTCACTCCACGCGAAGTGAAGGAAGTTATTTTTGCTCAGGATTTATTGTACAGTGCATGCTAGGCGACTATTCAGTCCCAGTCCCAGTCTTCCATTAGCAGTCATCCCATTGAAAAGGCAAATTGTGTGCGGGGGAAACTTTACAATGCCCTCGCACACCTGTAACTTGCATTGTGCATAGGAAACACTCCCGGTTGGTAGTACATACACCACGTAGAAGAGTTTCACCCCATCCGTGTAAAAGTTACTATTACGTTATCTTCACCGCGAGTAACCAAACTTGTTATGCCATCTTTAACCAGATAAAAAAAACTTGCCCACGAACTTTGATCTGTTACCCTCCTATCATAAAATGTATGCCTAGCCCTGTATTTGTTCGTACTGCTGCTCATGTTTGCACGCCTAGCGTATGCCCAGGTTTCGAAACGACATGTAGGATGGCAAGCTATCGGCTGGTTGGGAAATCGTGTCCCCCTAGACAGATACCGCACGGCAAATCAGCCATGGGGAGATACAAACGGGTAACAGTCATGTGTCAGTTAAAATTCCAAATACTGTATTTTCATTTAGAAATAGTCTACACACAAACTGCTTGCCATAAATTTACAATATGATAATGTACAAAATGATAATGTGGGCACAGCATATACCTACACTTGCCCTTTCACTCAATGTTACTTTCACGGCACATCAAATTAAAACTCTTTGGTGATTTTTAACAAATTATAATTTATAAAAGTATATAATATAATCTATTCACTGTAATTATGTATACACAGAACCCGATAAATACAAGCCAAAATGCACAGTTTATAATGATAAAATAAATACAGATGTGTTTTTAAGTTAAGTAGGCTAACTAAAAAGTCACGCATAAGCGTATTGTGTGCCGTTGGTCCACCCTAATATTGCATATTTGATCTGACTATGACAAGTACTGTGGTAAAAACATGATTTCACAGGCCAGACTTCTCAAATGCAGCTACCTTTAAACGATGACTAAACAAATCTGTCTATGACAATGTATCGGCAAAACGCGTTGTTCGTTACCATATATCAGGAATGTCTTTCGTATGAGTTGGCTGGCATTGCCAAATAAGGAGAATTCTCGCACCTCTCTCTCCACAATCAACGTTTACTGTGCAAAAAAAGTGAATCTGAACGAAGGGGAAAAAGGCCAATCACACAACTCTCTTCCGCTTGCTTTATGGCTTACAAGTATGAACTTTATACACAACTATTGCGAGGGTGGCAGCAAAGCCAACACTCTGGTCAGCGAACATCTACAAATACGTTGTAACCTATGTGAGTCTTAAAATAAATACTCATGTACAGACATTTTGATACAATACAAAATGGGCAAAAAAATATTATTTAAACAGGGAATTATTAAATACTCGATAAGTTACCACAATTATCCACAGTTTTTTTGTGAGTCTTTACTGAACGTTCAATTTCAAGGCACATGTGCGGCGTCGTCGTCGTCGACCCGCCCCTCGGTCGCCGTGGCAACGCGCTACTCATCGTTGATCGACAGACGACTGAAGATTGGAAGACGGAGACCGCGACTGACGTCGAGCGGAGAGTTGATCGGACTATCACGGTCAGAGAGCGAGCGCGTCGGCGACGGAGGTTCGTTGTCGGACAACAAGTCGAGGAAGACGTCGTCGTTGACGAACCGCCGCTGCGGCTGCGGGTGGACGCGGCGCGGCGGCAGGGGAGGAGCGCCGCCTCCGTACGTCACCTGCGGCGGCGGAGGGAGAGGCGCAGCCACAGCGGCGGCGTCGGGGAATGTGAAGGCGCGGGCGGCCGTGAACACCGCGGGAGAGAACATCGAGAACGGATCTTCCTCGAACAGCGTCGGACTCGAGGAGACTGGACTCGTGCTGAGGCTGGACGTCGGAGAGTCCGCGAGGGAACCGCCGACGCTGAACGCAGGCGCCCTCGAGACACGAGCGGCGCGCTGCTGCATCGGCGGCCCGCGCTGCGCCGGAGGGACGCCGACGGGGGAAGGCGGCGGCGACCGCATCTCGTCCGGGTTGTGGATGAAGTGGCAACGCGGCCCGTAGGGGCAGAAGCCGATCGTGTGGAACGTGCGGCAGAGCTCCGTCTTGTACTTGGGATGGCGAGAGAGGTTGCGCAGCTCGTGCTGGCCGTGAGCGAACTGGCACTTGTCGCCGTACTTGCACGTGCCGTTCTCCTCGAACGGACGGCACATCTCCGTCTTGTAGCGGCTCGAGTTGGTCTGCGACTTGCTACCGCGATCACCGGGGTCGCTCATGCTGTGCTCCAGCTTCATGTGGAAGTCGTTCGCCTGCAGGTCCGTGGGCGACAGCGCCGACATCTGATGCTGCATGGCTGAGATCTGCGATGGAAAGCTCTGCTGGCTGATGATGTTGTTGTTGTTGTTGTTGTTGTTGATGTTGATGGCCAGTCCGAAATTGTCGTTCTTCGTTGTTGGGCAGGTCGAGTTGACACTGACAGTGCGACGCAGCTGAGTGTGGGCCTGCCACAACGGATGGTTCATGAAGTTCTGGTTGTTCATCGTGGCCACGTTGACGGGAGCTCCGACCGCCTTGCCGTCCCCGCGAAACTGCTGAATATTCTTCTGCAAGCGGAAAGAAAGAAAACGTTCGATTGAGCATACACGTTTTATAGCGCCATTCTAGTTTGGGACACCTGTGTATATGTAGTTCGCAAACTGTTGGGCCTGGTTTTGCTGTAGCGTTTCACCACTACGGCGTGGTATGGTGGCAGAACAAGTGAACGAGCGTGACTGGAATGACACAGTGACTGCTAGCTTAGCCGTGTGCAAGCAGCGTGGCGTTCTACCGCCGGCAGCACTAACAACGGCTGGCGGGAGTGTACAGCAAGCACCGCCCGTTACCAGAACACAAGCTTAGCGTACGTGTACACACTTCAATGCCACCACAGAGAATCGCGCAACTATCGTACGGGTTACACGTGGCAGGTATGTCTCAGTACAAGCGATTCTCTCTACACACATATATATTATATATATATATATATATACAGCAGAGCAAAAGGAGGATGGCCATTTATTCAAAATCGGTTAGCCACAAACTTGCTGTCGGCTGCAATCTTGCGGCAGCAATACCACCAAAAATATCCAAAGCCGTTAACAACAGGACAGAAAATTTCAACCGTCCTAAATCATTCTCGTACAAAATGCGTCGTTACTGAAATTTCAAAACCTAGCGCGGTTCATCCCAGTACTTGACCAAACTCGAAGCGTTTCAATAAAATATAATGCTAAATAAATACGAAATCTATTTACTACCAATGTTTCTATACTCTCTTTCACCTATTATTGCCGACAGTTTCCTGTAAATTCTGTCCAAATCCGCTATGTGCAACACATGTACACGCTACCGGCCGCCATTCCGTACTGACACTTAAATAATAGGTGAAAGAGAGTACAGAAACATTAAAAATTTTGTAGTAAACAGATTTCGTATTTATTTAGCATTATATTTTATTGAAACGCTTCAAGTGCCTGTGAGTACAGGGTAGTACTAGTACTTAGTAGGCCTAACTGCTGCAAACGGGCAACCATTTCGAATAAAACAGGCAATGACAAATCGCCGCCACCTACAAGTACGAGTACCATCAGAATCAACGTTAACGATAATAAACACAACCTATCTCTACCTATTCTCATCCTACTAAATTCGAAACTTGTCAATGTCTATCAACGCGCCATTTACCAAACTCGATCAGAGAGTATAACCGCCATGATTCGCAACGCCCGTTACCGCCACGCGGCCACACATTTCAAATCGCAACACGACCGACTACCGAAAACGAGCACATCGAAATACTTACATTGAACGATAATATATCTTCCATGTTACAAAACGAGGTACCGAGCGTCGTGGGCTGCGACATGGTTCACACACGGAAAGCGAGTAGTCTTGACTAAGTTCACACTCTCTACGAGAAGTACTGCGATCATACACATACACCACACAAGTCGCTGGAGCATGCGCCGCTTGGCGCTTATATACCCGTCTCGGCTGCCAGTGGGCGGGGCCTAACCATCGCTCACGCTGATAAACACAACCCACGTGGTCGCAGCTACGCGCAGCCAAGACAAAAAACAACTTGCAAGTGTTGGCGCGGCTGCGTGCTTCCGCCGCACACGCTGTGGGGACGATGGCGCAGCAAGTTCCACGGCGTGTGCGTATGCAAAATCCATCGATCTGCGTCGTGTGGAAAATCACACGTATTTGATATTTTCTTCCACGTGTGGAAGATTGAACAGCGTGTGCGGAGTGGCTGTGTAAATTTCCACACTCAATTCGCATTGTTCTTGATTGTTCGCTTGGACACGGAGCATCGTTGAAGAGAGCGTTCACACGACGTTTGATCGATCAGTTCTTGGACATGCCGCGAGCTGCGAGCTGAGAAAAAATACGATGCGTCCAAGCGAACAATCAAGCGAACACACATACACACACACACACACACACACACACACACACACACACACACACACACGCGCGGCGCCGCCGCGCAACACACACACACACACATCAGACCCGACGCACCAGCCACGCACACACACACACACACGCGCACCACGCACGCACCAGCCACGCACGCACGCACGCACGCACTGCACGCACACACACACACACGCACGTGCACACACACACACACACACACACACACACACACACACACACACACACACACACACAAAGCGCGTTGCGTGTCCAGTGGTGTGATCTCTGTCAGTGTAGTAGTAAGTACTAGTACACACAATGGCGCGAAGACGCAACAAAAGTTGCGTATAGTAGGCACAACAATTCCCCACAGCGAACGCGAAGTCTCATCATTACAATTAGGGGAACATTATTTTGCCGTCAAGCGATGCCACCCCCGCGAAGATCAACAATTGTTGGTAGTTTGCTAGGCGAGGTTTTACTGGAGTTGTCGAGGACCCGCGAAATTTCGCTGAAAACCCCCACGTTTTACACGTTTCCACTCGTTCGCCGTGTATACTATGTGCGAAAGCACGAGTCTAGTGCTGTGACGTCACAATACGCAATTATATGCGAAGTAGATACGTAGTGGCGCATTACGCGTATTGCGGGGTTCATTCTCTTTTAAGCCCGCCGCACACGCTGTGGAACTTGCACGTGGACGATGGCGCAGCAATTTCCACAGCGTGTGCGGCGGGCTTTAGCCTTGTTTTTTTGTGAGGGAGTTCAGGTAGTAATATTAGGAGTGTATATATTTATATTACAGAATCAGTGTTGGAAATATAGCAATGAATCCGCCCCAAGGTCTGGTGCTGGTAATATTTCATCAGGGCTGGCTGTTTTATTAATTTCACCAGGAGCGTCAACAGAAATATATAATATCAAGAGCTAATAATACCTATATTAGGTATAAGGTACTATTAGGTCTTCATATTAATATAGACGTCTATAATATGACGCTCCTGATTTTACTATAGATAGTGTGTGTGTGTGTGTGTGTGTGTGTGTGTGTGTGTGTGTGTTTGTGTGTTTGTGTGTGCGTACGTGTGTGCGTGCGTGACAAATTCATCAGTAAGCCGCGGCCACACGTCCGGATTTTCGCGTTATTTTACAGACTACGGCAGATGGGACACAGGTTCTCTAATCCGAACAATACACACTTAAAAACACATGCTAATATAATAAGTAACATGTGCAAAGATGCAGCATAGGTACAAATGCTGCAAAATTAACGTTACAATGTCGCAATGTAAAATGTACAATTAATACAATGTCGCAATGTCAATGTAAAATGCACAATTAATACAATGTCGCAATGTCAATGTAAAATGCACAATTAATACAATGTCGGGTAAATCGAACGCGTAAACACGCGTGCGTGGTAATCATTGTATTGCAGTGTTGTCTGGATTAACGTACGCGACTATTGCCTGCCTGCCACTCCCACGCATCTTACGACCGTCACGGAGCGTACCGGTCGTTGTATGGGTCATTGAAGAAAAGTCTATCATCGAGGCCATGCGAGCTTACAAACGCGTGAGTTTGTCGCACGTAACGGTGTGTGGTTTTAGAGGTTTCGCGGCAGTGCAAGGTTAGTTATAGTTGAGGGCGATGCAAGCGTAGGCATAATTCAGAATCTTGTCGTAATTGGAGTCGATGGGTCAAGGGGGGTTCAGACGCATTTGGTCGTTCCTGTGCGGAAACCCAGCGCTTAAACGTATGATTAGGAGGGGGAGGAGGAGGGGCGGGAGGAGGAGGGTGAGGAGGAGGAGCGGGAGGAAGAGGGGGGAGGAGGAGGGGGAGCGGGAGGAGGGGAGATGTATGCTATCAATTGATTGACCAAGCAATTGTCTCAGTGTACGAAATTGAAGCGTGTTTGTACCATAACCCACATATTATGAAAACTAAACAGTATACGTACCCATTTTCGTGGTATATCTCGTACATTTGGCACGGACTCCGTTGACTAGACTGATGGAAACAGTAGCAAAGCCAGAGCGTGAGAGACGCTGACAACAAACTGTAGTTCCATAGATCTACACTACTATATATTGTAATTCCATCATACTATAAGGTTACCGCAAAACATGTACAGATCGTTTACATCACATGAATAATAAAATATCTATAATATCTGTTACGCGCTGTAAATAGACACTATGTAGCACTGCATGTCAGGTCAGTATAGTCGGCAGTTTAGAACAAATGTGAAGTAACGTCTGCCGCTTCGTACTTGCTATCTTCAGCAAGTCAATGGAACGCCAAACATTTTGTCCGCAGACTAACAAGTAATTTTGTTGGTTTGTACGTGAACAGAGAGGCCATATAATTGTCACAGTTCATTATTACATTTACACACACGCGTTATATAGGCGCCGCACATCTCCAAATAGTAGTACGGTTCTACGCGATGAGGATGGTGCGCCATCTATAGGTGTAAAATCAAAGTTACGGTTGCCTCTGTTTTTCCACCAGGGGGCGAGACCTTCCAATGCTATCTGCGATCACTGGATAACATACGTAGATATTACCAAGAACTAATAAATGATACGAGGTATTTATTAGCTCTTGATACCCGGGGGGGGGGTCACTATATATGCCGGTATTACCCCATGTGCGTTCTCACTAAAAACAATAGGGCCCCTAGTGCGAACTGCACATTGGAGAAACCCTACCCCCTATTGCAGACACAATTGAAGAATACCACCCCCTATTGCATACACAATGAAAATATCCCACCCGCTATTGCATACACAATGAAAGAGTCCTACCCGGACCCCTACACCCTATTGCGAGGTCTTGCAGACAAGTGGAAGGCAAAGAGTGGAGGGAATGGAGGGGGCCCGTGAGGCGGGCGCGGTGCTTGACTTGAACGATCCCGAGGGCTTATTGCGGGATTAGCTTTGTAAAGGGGGTCCTATTTGCTCCCGCGCGGGCCCGCTTTAGAAGTTGAAAAACACCCCCCTAACCCGCAAAATTTGGCCCGGGTCTTGATATTACTTTTATAACGATGGTAATAATTAAATGTCCGCTCTCAATTTGATTGCTGCTTTGGCGCACTGAGACTTTTCAGGGTCTGCAGCTCCCGTTTGAGCGACTGATTTTCTTTGGCAAGTTCCCTCATGGACAAGGTTATCTGGATAGAGGAGGTGTTTTCCTTTCTTATCAGGGAAGATGTCCAAGGCTCCAGCAAACTCACTCTCCAGCTTTCCCCTTATATGCTTCTTTGTTGATTCCTTGACTTGGACAATGCCTAGAGAGTTCATTGAAGTAACCAGTCTAGAAGTGAGATCAGACATTGTCATCACTTGAGGAAAACTCCATCCTGAGAAACTAAGCTAATTGTATGACTGATTCACAGCAGCCTCATACTGGGCTTCAGCATCAGCATCTTCAGTGTTTCCCCTGCATTGACACGAGCTAGGCGGGCCGCCTCGCTCAAATTCTCAGCCGCCACACAGAAATTTGTCAGAAAACACCGCCTCACTGACGAAACTTTTGACATCTTGAAAAAGAGATTCAAGAGTCTCATACAATGTGTCCAGAATAGCTTACTTAAAATGCATCAAATTGCTCCATTTTTTCAAAAAATTTCCGGGGTCACAATCCCCCGGACCCCCATTAGCTGGCTAAGTACATGCACTGCCCACTTTGCTAGGACCTCAAAACACGCAAACACACCACACACAAAATTACCGCCTCACAGACCTTTCTGGCCAAGGGAAACATTGATCTTCATTGCTGGCAACCTCTTCTTTGAAAACCTCATCTTTGGTGTACATGCAGTCTATAGCATGACCTGTGGTAGTGCCATTCAGCTGCTACAAGCTAGGTCTCTACTCACAATTGCAAGGATTCTGCTGTCCATTTTCCCTGTGTCTGTTCTCCTGATATGCTGAGTAGTACTGTACCAGTACTTCTCTGGTATTCTGTCCCTTGACAAATTGATTTTCTGACAAAATATGCACTCTGCGTCATAAGTCCTAGATGTACATGGGGCATGTCGAGCTGCTCTCTTATAATCTTTATATTCAGCAGAGCCACTGGCACTTTGTTGTTCTTTTGCAAGGATGCCAAAGACTTCCAAAACTGGTGCATGATTTCGTATCTCAGCTGCCCCGAGCAGAGTTCTCCACGACTCAACACTTTGTGGTGAAACCCGCTTATCCATATCATCAGAACAGTGCATGATGCACTCCAACCGTGATCGCTTTGGTAGTGTAACGTATCCCTTTCTTTGCTTTATCATTTACCCTTTAGTTAATAGTTATGTTCCCCCTTTGCGTGATCCCCATTAATTGTGTAATGCCGCAATAACCCCTCCGGTCGTTACCAACGGTCTAAGATTTGATCGCTGGATTGTGACTTATATTCGACTGAACAGCCTCGTGGTGTGTGGTGCGAACAAGGAAAACATAGATTCGACAACGGAGATGAATTACTTTATGCATCGGCCATCGAACCAACGCGTTTAATCAAAATATAAACATCAGACTACTTACATAGGTGCTCG